TTTTTCAAGGTCACCAGCAGTTTCTCCATTTTAACAACATCCTTTCCTTCACCCTGTCTTTGGTACAAAGGATGTTCACCAAGGTGCTGTCCCAAGTTTTGGCTCTTTTGCAATTGACAGAGACGTAAGTATGTGGTCAAAGGGTCGGTCCAGTGGCAGGCAGAAACGTGGAAGTCAATACACATGAGATAAGGCACAGCAGCTAGTCAAGCACAGAGAAACACCTTCACCATACCTACACTAAAATTGCAGTGAGGTATGGTAGAGACCGAAACAATCTTTGATGTAGAGGCCAAGTTTCAAGGGACAGTTGGGACAATGGTAACGCGTGTCCCGCCTCTTTCCTTTTTTTGAGTCACAGAGCATTTTTGGGGGGGTGCCCGGTTTACTGGGGTGGCAGGGATCAGATCGGGGAAATGTTTCTCATGTAGCCTGCTGACTGCATCAGATTGAAGCCTTTCAGAAGCAGGGCCTTCCTGGTAAATCAAGGCTGTTATAATTTCTTCTTGGTATTTTGGGTAAGAGCCAGCTCTTCCTGCAGACTTGTTAATCACATAGGAATTGTACATCGCCAATTGAAAAAGTTAAATGGAAACCTTTTTGTACCAGTGAATGGATCTTCTGGTTGCCAAGTAGGGCTGCATCCTCTGGTCATTGAAGTCTACACCACCCATATATAGATTGTATTTGTCGACACTTAGAGGTTTTTGGAACAGGGCAGATCTTCATTGGATTTCCACGGAGGTGCCTGGCTGAATGGATGAAAGCATGTAAACATCCCGTTTTGTCCTTTTTCATTTGAAGGCTAAAAGTTCCTAATTCATCAAACTGGCTGACTCCCCTGTTTTTCAGGTTTTTTGAGGAAGATGTGTGAACAGGGGCACGCTGCTATAAAAATTGTCCGCATAGAGGTGGTATCCCTGGTGGAATAGGGGTGACAGTAGGACCCACACAATTCTTCCACTGCTTCCCATATACCATTGGCATCCAGGGGGGGCTCCAAATGGCTATCCTTGCCTTCATACACACGGAAATCGTATGTGTATCCTGTGTCTTTCACAAATGTTATCCCATACCTGGCGCGTTTGCTGGGGGGATATTGTTTGATAGCCTGCCTGTAAAATGTACAAGGGACTCATTGATACAAATGTTTTGTTTGGGAGTGTACATTTCTGAAAATCCGGCGGGAAAAAATTGATGAGTGGCCTAATGTGGGGTTACGTCTGGGAGGGCAAATCGAATTGGCGTTGAAATGTAGAAATCTCATGATCATTTTATATCCTGTCCTGGACATCATTGCAGATTATAGGGGCATGTGATGGATTGGGTGTGTAGACCAGTACGCAAAAAGTTCATTTTTTTGGTGAGTCTTATATTGAGTGTTAGGCCGAGAGATTTTAAATTCAGAAACACTCAGGTTTCCACTCAAATGGCCTGGTATAGAAGGAATTGGGGTTGCTTACAATGAGCTGCTCATATTAAAGGTTGGATTCAGTGACAATTAAATTGGTCATCAGTAAAAAGACAAAAAAAATTGGATTGCGGTAAACTTCTCCATTTCCACTTGGACTCCTGGAATGGCAGTAAATGGGGGTGGGATGACTGATGTTACAGAATTAGAGGGTAGCCATACAGGATTTGAAAGTGCCTCCTGGTACATTAGCATGGGCTCTTTGGGGCCTAATTCTTCGTGGCTGATGTTGGATCACCCGACTACTGGTGCTTGAGGATGAGCGGCAGTACTGGTGCTTGCCTCCGCTTGGGGATGAGGGGCACTACTGGTGCTTGCCTGCTGCATGTCAGCTGGATGTTGGACAAGCGCGCCTGGTTCTTTTCGCTGGGACAACTTCTGAATCAGAGGAGGATGCTGAAACACTGCTTTCAATAGGTTCATACTCTGATCCAGAATCTGACAGGGAGGCCTCTCTGTCCCTCTTATCTGACATGCTGAGAATGTGAAATACCTTCTCACTGCTGTACATTATTTTTGTACATTTTTATTGGGTATTCTTGGGGGCTTTGGATGACCACTGGTATTTTACAAGTTATGTGAGCGTAACAAGCTGATTGGTGATAATAGGCCGGCACTGTGGTAGACACTGAGGTTTACTGCTGGCACTACTGACACTGAATGCTGATGATTTGTGCTGCAAATGTGGCACTGATGACGCTAAATACCACTGATGAGACTGTACAATGCACTGACACTGTGAAATTGCACTGATGACACTGCGGATCACTGATGGGGCTACAATGCACTGATCACACTACTGAGACTGTGAAATCGCACTGATGACACTGCAGATCACAATGATGACTGTGAGATCGCACTGACTCTGAAATCACACTGATGATACTAAAATCGCTTATCTGTATATCAATTTAATTTCTTACTGTGGACGATCGTTGCATAGTGCTCGATCTCCTCTCTCACATCCAAACGGTATGTGATAGAGGTGATGGTGATAAGCCTGCAAACCGCAGCCATTGTTTACTTTGTTACAGCTCGGTCGCAAGGTATAGAGCCATTGTGATTTGTTACAGCTCGATCGCAAGGTATAGAGCCAATTTCACTGGCGCTCTATACCTTGTTTTTGAAACCGTACTGTCCAATGAACAGTGCGTGCACAGTTCTCCCGCTCGTGTGCACGCGGGGGGGGGGGAAGAGGACGTCTTAAGTTGCCCTCCCGCATCTACAAGGCTCCCGTCCGGCCATTTACCTAAGTTTTGCTGTTGTCCTCCCCTCAGTGTATTGCTTTGTGATGTTCAGTCTCTGAATTGCCTGCATCCTGTACTGCACGATCAAGAAAATTGGATTTCTGCTTTACCAGTAAAATCTGTTTCTTGGAGTACAGTGCAGGACACAGCACCTGTCCCTCTGAATGCTCTATGCTTGCTTGGGTGGGGTTATATGATGGTCCTCACAGCTCTGGCAAGTGTACAATCACCTGGTGATAAATGCATATTACCCAGTCATCTCTGAATTGCCTGTGTCCTGTACTGTACTCCAAGAAACAGCTATGACTGGCAAGTCAAAAATCCAATTTTCCCTTAGTAGAAAGATTTTCTCATTTCTGTTGAGTCTACAGGACAGGAAGGGAAGGAAAATCCCCCTAATGAGACTCAGATGGCAAAAACAGTGGTTTAACCCTACTCTGAGGTATTTTTCCTTTCCTGGTGCATCTTTATGGCAGCACACAATGGGTTAACAATTCGCCCCTTAACCCTATAGGACAAGCCCTCTAAGTTTTGACCCCTGCTGCTTGGTCCCCATTCTCATCAGGAGCCATGTAGGGAGGGTCCCTGTGTGCTGCCATGAAGATGCACCAGGAAAGGAAAATTACCGATAGGTGAGTGTACAATTTTCAGTTTTCCTGGTACATCATGGGACATAGAGATCACAACAGGGAGGGAATAGTCTGCAAATAGTTTTTTAATCAAGTCCACATATTCAAGCAGAAGAGCCTGTAGCTCTAACTGCCTTGTCGTGGTCCACTGTAGTGAGGACAGCTGGGTCAATAAATAGTGTTTTAATGAAAGTATTTCGGGATCACCAGGTAGCCGCCTTGCAGATGGTTTCAGCTGACACATTGGCAGAGGCTGCCCATGATGTTGCCAATCCTCGGGTGGAATGCGCCCGAACTTCTTGAGGCGGTTGCATGCCCTGCCACGTATAAGCTTTTCGGATCACTTTGACCAGCCAGGAAGCCAGAGTCCTGTTGGAGGCTGCTTGACCCTTTCTGATTCCTCTAGGGAGGATGAAAAGTTTCGGAGCAGATCTGAAATGCTCCGTAACAGTTATGTAGGACTTTAGAGCTTCAGCCACATCCAGGGGATAAGGTTTCCCCCCTAACTCTCCCCCCAAGGAGCGGGCAATTTCTTCAGGTGGAAGGATGAGGCAACCTTCGGAAGAAAGGACGAGTTAGGTCTCAGGACTGCTCTATTAGGAAAAAACTTACAGTAGGGAGAGACACCATCAACGCTTGTAGTTCGGAGGCCTGTTTTGCAGAGGCAATCACGACCATAAACACCACCTTGAGGGTGAAGTTTTCGAGGAATGGTAAAATGGAGGCTGCGACAGATTTCAATATCACCGTTAAATCCCACTGGGGAAAGGACAGTCTCTTGGGTGGTCTCAGCTTTAGAAATTGCTCTACCAAGGGATGAAAAGACCATCTGGTGACAGTCAATGCTGAAATTGCCGATATATGAACTCTGAGGGTGTTCCAGCTTAGTTACATATCCAAACCCGACTGCAGAAAAGCCAGAACATTGTTGATGTTGGAGGGCGGCTCAAAGCCACCTGTTATTGCTGCTTGGAGGAATTTTTCCCAAACGGGACACCCCTGTGTTCTACCACAGACTAAACCTCTCTGTCTTCCCTCCTTGTAGATACTGACCTGGCCAGGATTCGAGAAGTGCTAACAACTATGCCACTGTGCTGCCCAATTATTTACACATTCTTTATCCCGTTGATGCATGATATGGAGTGATGGGAAACATTTTATTCTTCATATTTACAGTATAGTTGCATGTCCATCATTAGGGAAAGGGGATGTATTTTTGATTTAGTACGGTAATTACATTTGGTATCTGTGTATGTTTTCCCTCCATGTCGGCAGTTGTTTCCCCTATTGTTTTGTAGATATAAAGAGAACAGGGGGCTACAGTGTCTATGCACATTTAAGTTCCTTTTTCTCTCATTTGTTCTGCGGTTGATGCCCATTGTCATAACCCTCCCATAAATGTATTTATGATTAGCTCTTCAATAAGCATTGAGAACCTAGCAGTGGTTTTAACCCCTCTTCATTCTATTAAAAAAAATGCCTTTTATTTTGTGTTTTTTTTGGGTTAGCATGAAGAAATGATATGTGGTTAACACTGTCCTTTACTCTTATTAGTGTTATGAGATGCTTCTAAATTTGTATATATTTCATAACTATAGATTTCTATACACACAGATATTTAACAAATCGTATTTGTTTTTTATTTTTTTCCAGGCATGCGACATGCAATTTATGAGAAATTGGACGATGATGGTTTAATTGCACCTGGTGTCAGGGTCTCTGGGGATGATGTAATCATTGGCAAAACTGTAACATTGCCTGAAAATGAGGATGAGCTTGAAAGCACAAATCGTCGGTACACCAAGAGGGATTGTAGCACTTTTCTTCGTACAAGTGAAACTGGCATTGTTGATCAGGTCATGGTAACACTTAACCAGGAAGGCTACAAGTTTTGCAAGATCAGGGTAAGCTATACGTATTCTGATGCTTAATTTACCAGTTTAGTACAGGCAATGTTGGGCCATTACAAACAAAGCTAAAGACAGAACTTAACAGGCAATATGTGAAGGAAAGGATTGTGGTGCATTAAGGAGTGGACAATGAATATGACAGGAGGCAATATGTGCAGAGGAGTTTGGAGGGAGTGACAGCAGGCAGTATGTTCAGGGGAGTAGTTCTGAGGTTGAGAGCCAGTAGTGCTGAGGATGTGAAAGCTGGTAGGTATGCACTTGAGGGGTGTGTGGGACGGTATGTTGGTGGGCAGTATGTGCAGAGGCGGAATGTGATGTGTAAGATGGGTAGGCAGTATAGGAGTGCCCAGCACCGCCGTCCCGTCCTCTCGCGACAAACTCCCGCCACAGGATGACATTTTGACAGATGTCGGCAACATAAACAATTGGGCGGAGCTAGTGGTGACAGCTCCGCCCAGCTGTTTACAGTTGTACAGCATCTGACAGGAGAGCCATGATTGGGCAAAGTCATCATGACTTTGCCCAATCATGGCTCTTACAGAGTACTGGGAACCTGATGGGGCAAAGTCTTGCACCTGACCTGTGGTCAGATGCAAGGCTTTAGCCAATCAGGACTCACAAGGCACTGTACGGTGCACAGTGCCTTGTGGGGCAATCGGCGGGCAAAGACCCCGCCGAACGCCCTAACAGTTTGTGTGTTTGCCGAGCACACAAACTCATGCTAGACTCGAACATCGAGCCCATCCCTATGTGTAGGTGAGGCATGCAGAGCATATAACAGTGGGCGTTTTGACATTGCACCGTTCAGCTATTACCATAACTCCGCCGCTTCCTTACAGCCGCTTAGTATTTACATAGCCCCGCCCCCTCGCTGCAAGCTCCGGTGTTCTAGCAATGTCTCCTCTCGCATTGTGTCCTCTAAACGTTCATCTCTCTCCCCCCCCCCCCCACACACACACACTGTACAGGAAATCTCTGACTTGTCTCCCCGTCACATGTCACCGCTCTCAGTGTTGTGATATTTCCTGCCACATCCCCATCCTTACTGCTCATCAGAGCACACAATGTGAGAGGAGACATTCATCTTTCTCATAGAACACCGGAGCTTGCAGCGAGGGGGCGGGGCTATGTAAATACTAAGCGGCTGTAAGGAAGCGGAGGAGTTATGGTAATAGCTGAACGGCAGGGGGAACTAAGATTTACGGGGAACAGGTTTCCATACAACTGCTGCACATGTTCAAGACGGAGAGAGAGGAAGGAGGGGCGGAGGCACTGAGGAGAAACGGACCTCCATGCATGCGCTGTCATTTGCTGGCACAGACGACAGGGACGTGGAGGTAGGGAGAGAGCTGCTGCGCATGCCCATGTATTCGTGGACGCGCAGCAGTTCTCAAGGAGCGCTGTCAGTCAGTGAGAACGATCAGTTGGGAGGATCTCGACAGTATTGTCAGGATCTCTCCCCATTGCTGAGCTTAGCCCTGCCTACCATCTTAAAGTAGCGATTGTATGTTTAGGGTGCATTTTGGATTATAAGAGTAAATTGCAAAATTTACTCCTATAGCCCATGGAATCCAAAAGTAAAAAGCTTGGATCCCATATTTCTCCTTTTTAACTATATTGGGATTCTGGTTTGGAGTGCAGTGGGATGTATACTATTATGTGCAGTTTAGTGGACACACCTGTTATTGGAAAATAAAATGTTTTTTTGTTTTTTTTAGGTACGGTCTGTTCGAATCCCTCAGATTGGAGATAAGTTTGCTAGTCGACACGGACAGAAGGGTACCTGTGGAATTCAGTACAGGCAGGAGGTATTTGTTTCTATTTAGACAAAAAAAAAATATATACCTAACATGCAAAAGCTAATTTTTGGCCTAGATCACCATATCTTCCATATGTTTGTCGATAAATGTAAAGTAATGCACTTCGGGGTTAAAAATAGGCAAGCGGATAATAGGAACTCCACTAGAAATGGAAAAATATTTGGGGGTCATTGTAGACCACAGATTGAACAATAGCTTGCAATGCCAGGCTGCAGCAGACAAAGCGTGCAGAGTACTGTCTTGTATTAAAAAGAGAATGTACTGTAGAGACAAGTCAATTATTTTGCCACTTTATAGACCGCTGGTTTGACCTCATCTGGAGAACGCAGTCCAGTTTTGGTCACCAATCCACAGAAAGGATGTCCTGGAGCTGGAGAGAGTCCAGAGAAGGGCAACCAAACTAATTAAGGGGCTGGAAGACCAAAGTTATGAAACAAGGCTACAAAATTTAAACATGTTCACGCTGGAGGTGCGGAGATTAAAGAGGGGCATGATTTTCATGCACAAGATGTTCAATGGTGATAGCAACATCAGCAATAAACTTTTTACAGTAAGCTCCATAACAAAGACTAGAAGCCACCACCTAAAATTGGTGGAGAAAGGATTTCAGCACAAGGGGGTTCTTCTCAGTTAGAGCGGTTAGGGTCTGGAACTCGCTGCCGCACGCAGTGATTTCAGCTGGGAGTGTTGAATCGTTCAAAAAGAATTTGGGACGATTTCCTCAGAGACCATAACATATGGGGTTACAGGTACTCTTAAGAACAAGATTATACATGGACTCGTATACACACACACACACACGCAGAATCGCATGCACACACACAATGGGTTGAACTTGATGGACCTGTGTCTTCAACCTCAAATAGTATGTAACTATGTAAAATAAGTAGTATGTTCCTTTCAGTCAGAATATAAATGCTGTTGGAGATTGCTTTACAGCTAATAATTATATTGGTTGTATTCATGCTATCTGAACTTCATAAAATGCTGATAGAGATTCCTTTGGGACCAGTACAAAAGTATTTTTGTTAGTCAGTATTTGTAAATAAATAAAGTTTGTGACATGCATGGTGGTTACATTAGTAATATATAGGGATGCGCCGAAATATATCGGCCCGGAAATGGCACTTTGGCCGAAATAGCGGTGCATCTGTAATTTCTTTCCTCCCCGCTGGGCACTGCTCTCTGTCCCAGCTAAGAGGAGAGAAACTGTAACAGGAGGCCGAGCAGTGCTGCAGGAGGAGACCAGCGGCTCTGCGACCAGTGACCAGTTAATAGAAAGTTTGGGGCCAACCTGATACATTACCACGTTAGATCTCACCAAGGGGTACTGGGAAATACCCTTAGCAAAGAGAGCCAGGGAAAAAACTGCATTCTCTACCCCTGAGGGTCATTATCAGTAAACAAGGATGCCATTTGGGCTACACTCTGCCCCAGCCACTTTCCAAAGGGCAATGGATAAAATGCTACGCCCTTGGTTCTCAACTGGTGGGTCGTGACCCAAAAGTGGGTCGCGACCTCATGTTCAGTGGGTCACCGTATGCCTTCCCCTTTTCTAGGTGAGAGGCTCCGCAGCCTCCCCTAGTGCAGCACCGTCGGTTCTCACGCCAAGCAGCCATTCAGAATATGCTGCCCAGCATCGAGTGTCAGCTTGAGGTGGGCTATGGCGGTAAGGGAGCTCCATCCATATATGCGTTGCTTACAGCTCCCTCATGTGTCCCGTAGAGGTGCCTGGACCAAAATAATGCACTGTAACAGGCAATCACACCTACTACGCGTTCTGGTGTGGGAGGTATGTTGCATTGATAGTCATTTGAATGGTACCCCAAACACACATCCCACTCATAGTTCAATCACCCGCGCCGGAACGCACAGTACCGCAATGCCGCACGGTCCATTGCAGTGCGATTTGGGTCGCGACTTAATGACCATGGACAAATGTGGGTCCTGAGGTTACACAGGTTGAGAACCACTTATCTAGACGATATTGTAATTTTCAGTACAGATCGGGAGTGCCATCTGCCCTGGGTTCAGGCCATGCTAGACTCCCTTGAAAACAGAAGGATTTACGGTCAATCCTGAGAAATGTGCAGTTGGGATGGAGGAAGCCAAGTAGCTGGGGTACATTGTGAGTCGGGTCTGGTGAAGCCCCTGTAGTCCCTATATAGATATGTATATATGTGCTACGGCAGTAATCAATGTTTTCTGCCTGTAAACAGTTGACTGCCTCTATGTCCTGTGTGGAGGAGACTTGTGGGAATTGCAGTGCAGAGCAGATACTGTGATGTTGGAGGAGAGATCCTGGTGATGTTGGGAGGAGAGATCCTGGAGACTGCAACTCCCGGGAAGCTGTGTTTCAGAGGGGAGGGGGACCCTGGGCTGTGGCTGCTGAGCGCACTCAGTCTGGGAGATCCGGGTGAGGAGGATAGGTGGGATCCTGTATAGACTGAGACTGTGAGTAACAGAGCTGTATGGCCACCGCTGACACAGACGGACTCCAAAGCTCTGTGCAAGCTGTTAGAGACTTTATTCGGAGTGCCATGCCTGGAGGCATCCAATTGAGCTCTCCAGCAGGACCCAGTGACGCAGCTGCAGCGGGGATATCGCGGCCTGGTTGCACGGCCAATCTAACACTGCGTGGGATCCAGTAGGCCCAGCTGAGTGAGGGGAGCCGGACGGTGGTGACAGAGACAGCTACCCACTACCCTGGATGAGTGGAGACCATCATGAGACCGCCAGGTGACATCATCATCTTCACAGGAGTCGACTTGAGAGGAAGGGGACGTCTGTCTCTCGCTGGCAGACATTATCTCTTCTACCTGACCTTGGGAGTGGTGAGAGGCCTTAGGCCATTGTGACACTTTACCTTTCACACCTGCAATACAGTGCGGGCCCCAACGTTGGCTAGCCTAGGACATTGCTACTGGCCAGTAGTCTAGAGAGGGTCAGTGACTGTCTGAAAGTGAGGAATTAGTGCTACATATACTCAGTTTGAGGGTAACATCTGAGGTAATCTGGCATTACACCCTTCAATATAGACAGTATATAGCTGCGGTTACTGAGTGTCAGAGTGCCTTTGCCTATTACCAAATGTTCTTCATGTAATTCTTGGGTTGATGGTTGCATTCTTTATGCCTATACCCTGATTGATCAATAAATCTGTTATCAAACTCTTTAAAGGTGTGTTGGTGTGCTATGGATCCAAATTTGGGCGGTACATTCGTGTGGGGGATAGAAATACCTTGGTTATTCAGCGGCTCCTCCGGGGGTGAGCGCTACACCCCAAATTAACAAAGTGTAAGCGATACAGAATTGGCCACGCCCCCTAACTTAGAAACATGTCTGGGCATGTTTGAGTACTACAGGCGATTTTGTCCCCAATTTTGCACCACTAACTGACCTGACTAAAGGCAGGAAGTCAGTGATGATCTAGTGGAATTCTGAGGCCGAGGAAGCTTTTTTTAAGCGTAAAGAATCATTGTCAGCATCCTGTTTTGGTTGCTCTGGACTTTTCCCAGGAGTTTATAGTACGGAGAGATGTCTCAAGTGAGGGTTTAGGGGCTGTCCTGAGTCGAGATCAATGAGGGTACTCTGGTCTTTCTCAGCAGAAAATTGATGCCCGCTGAGAAAAATTATGCTGTGGTAAAGCGAGAGTGCCTTGCCATAAAGTGGGATTTGGACTCTGATACTTCTTGCAGGGCAGGAAATATCGTTTGGTGTCAGACCATGCCCCGTTGTCTTTGGATGAGACAGAACAAGCATGCCAATGCCTGAGTAACAAGGTGGTTCCTGTACCTCTTACACCCTTACACCCTACCATGAAGTTAAGGGTGTAACTTCATGGTAGAGCACAGACCCGGAAGACGGCATCAAAATGCTGATGCCCTCTTGTGACGGACCCCGGTACTCAGGATGAGTATGTCCGCCGCTGTATTCTTCCTTGCTCAGGAGATATTGCAACCCGCTGATCTTTAGCTCCCAGTTTCCCCAGTCACTAGTTGGGACCAAGTGTATGGTGAAACAAACTCTGGTTTATTGAGCAACTGTGCAACCTTTTATACACAAAGGGATCAGATTATAATCCTATCACATCCACCCTGCCCTCCTTAAACATTCTGACTGCACAACCCTGCAGGAGTCCGCCTGTTAAAGAGCTCCAGACAGCCATAGCCAGAGAGTCCTGAGTTCCTTGGATTACAAAAGGAGCTAATGAGGGGGGGGGGTGCTGACATTCTTTTGATAAACAGGTTACACAGTATAACATATTAAACATAACCCAACACCAATACACATATAACCCATAAACTGATGACCATGTCGTCACACCTCTCTCGAGTACATTGTAGGGTGTCCCATGTTGCCTCCAACACCTCCACGTTGAGGCAGAGGTATGGGGATATGTACAGGATCCCAGAGATGGGTCCTGGAAGGTCAGTGTGTGTCTCCTCTATTTGGGTTGTGGTCCTTTTCTGTGGCAAAAGAGTGTTAACTGCCAGGCAAGAGGAAATGGCTAGAAAAAACACTGGAAACTCCACAGAACCTGAGAAGTAGTTGGAGTAGCACAGGTGTGCTAGAGAAAGCTGGGTGAGCTGCTGGTCTATACTGGACATTGCTAAGAACTGTTTTTATGTGAGAAGTTCATAAAAAAAATTCTGGCGCTGTGCCTGTGAGCAAGACTTAAAGTGACATTAAACCCTCAGATTTTTTAACATAAAACAATACTGTAATGTGTGCCTTACTGTAATCCATGGTAGTTTCCCTTCTCTTTGCTGCTCTTCCTTTTAAATCTGTATCTCTTCTCATGATGGGCAGAACTTCTGTTTTGTAGCAGACTGCCTTGTCTCTGGAATGGATACATGGTGTCTGTGTGAAGGTTCACAACCTGAGCCAGCGCTACAGGAAGGGGCACTCAGCTGCAAAGGGAAATTCTCCCCAAGCATGAGAAGACATGAGGATTTAAAAGGAAGAGCAGCAAAGAGAAGGGAAAC